TGCTTCTGTCTCACGTGATGACACAGAGACTTGAGACCTAACCAAACTGCTTTAAGCTCCAGGTAGTTAATATGAAACCCTTGCTCCTCTAAACTCCAAGGGCCACCAGTTTTCTGTTCCCCATACACTGCCCCCCAGCCCTTAGTTGAGGCATCTGTTGTCAGGGTCATGTCAGGGTTAGGCTGAACAATCTTCTTAAAAGAAGAGTCCACATTATTTATCCACCAAGACAAATCTACTTTGGCATCCTTAGACAAATATAATGGCCCATCATAATTACCCTTGCTAGCCTGCAGTGCAAGGACCTTATTCTTTTCTAGATTCCTGTAATACAATTCTCAAAATTGCACTGCAGGTAGACTTGACACTATCAAGCCAATGACATGGGCAGTTTCTCTGACGGTCACCTCAGTTTTGAGTAGTATATTTGGACAGGCTATACGTACGCTTGCAGCTTTGGTAGGGGGAAGTCTAATTGTCATAAGATTACTGCTAAGTAAAAACCCAAGAAATTCTATTTCTTGTGTGGGAATAAAAACTGATTTCACAGGATGAATTACGAATCCAAGGTTTTGGAATGTGTCAATCGTGTCCTGGACATTCCTCTTACAAGCAGCGTAGTCATATCCTAATAAGAAAGAGTCATTTATGTGCCCCATGCAAAGATAGCCCATTGATCTGATATGAGAGTAAACAGGTTTTAAAATTTTTGTGAACAGCCTGGGGGCACAAGCAAGGCCATTGGGTAGGCATGTGTATTCATAATAACTTCCTTGCCACTCAAATTTTAAATATTTCCTGTCCTCTTTAGCAACAGGGACAGAATAGTATGCGTCCTTTAGGTCAACTGAAGCCATAGAGCACCCCGGACGCATGAGTTTAAGAGCTGTTTGAATAGTGTCTATTTTGAAATGGTGGTACGAGACAAATTCATTAAGAGGTTTGAGATTTAAAATCATTCGGTAGCTGCCATCTTTTTTAGGCCGCACAAATATAGTTGAGAGGAAGTCCCCCTCTACAAATTCAGTTTATTCCAAAACTCCTTTATGGAGAAGTGTAGATATTTCTTCACTTATTATCTCCCTTTCACCAGGTGAGAAGTGGATTTGTTTTGGTGGGTGAGGTTTGACGTGGGTATTAGCTTCAAACTCAATATGGTAGTGCTTTATGGCATCAAGTATGACGTGGTCATTTGTCAAAGATTCCCAGGAACCAACATGGTCCTTCAGCTGTCCTACTGAAAAAATACGGACCATTTGATGGAAATAATCCCCATCCATAAATGATTTAGGATGTGTCCTCACCTGGTTATCGTTTAATCTTTGTTGTTGGATTGGCTAGGTTTTTTCGGGGCACTCTTGTGTCCCCGGCTGTACCCTAAAAAAAGGGCGTGTCTGAGATGTTTTCCGGCCACTAGATGTCCAGTGGTATGGTTTGAAATTTGAGTGTCAAAATTTCTGCCTCCCAGCCTTTAGATAGTTATGGCTGGATGTGTGGGTGTCAGAGGTCCTCTGCATCTGCCGGCCCGCCTTCTTTGCATCTGCCATATCCTTTAGATGTTTTGACAATTCATCCCCAAATAGCTTTGTAGAGGGCTTGATGTCCTCTTTGCATAACCTTGTGAAAGGGGGGTTGAGGTCGGGCTTGATTAGCTCTCGTCGTTTCATATTATGTTTATAATTGGCATTAGCCACAAGGGCAATGCTGTCCATGACCTGGTCCAGGACCTGACGGACGTTAGTGGGTTTGCCAGTTTGAAGGTCTTTTACCAACTGGTCC